AAGGACACACTCAGCATTTCTCAAGCTGAAAGAACTAAGGAAAAAATTTAAGCCTCGAGTTGTAATACTGAAGGATTCTATGGGCAAAATATCGAACGATGCAGGAAGCATCAAAGATGGAAGGGATACCCAGAGTCACTGTACCAAAAACAAGTGGTCCATTTCAGGAGATAGCATATGTTGAAGAACCAATGGTTCTTAAAGAAGTCAAAGTTACAATGAAGGAATTTGCAAAGAACAAGGCTCCAGGAATTGACAGAATACCCAATGAGATGTTTAAACAAATGGATACCCCACCAGAGGCACTCACTTGGTTATACCAAAAGATTTCCATTGGAAGACAGCTACCTAGCCAGCTGACTGGAAGAGATCTGTATTTGTATCCATTCCAAAGAAAGGTGATCCCACAGAATATGGAAATTATCAAACAGCATCAACATCGCATGAAAGTAAAATCTTACTGAAAATAATTAAAAAACAGTTGCAACAGTATAGTGACCGAGAACTTCCAGAAATGCAAGCTGGATTCAGAAGATGTGGAACCAGGGATGTCATTGCTGATGCCAGATGGATCTTGGCTCAAAGAAAGCAATACCAGAAAGATGTTTACTTGTGTTTTATTGCCTATGCAAAAGCATTTGATTATGTGGATCATAACAAGCTGTGGATAACACTGACAAGGATGGGAATTCCAGGACACTCATGAGGAACCTGTTCAATGACCAGGAAGCTGTCATTCAAACAGAACAAAGAGACACTCCATGGTTTAAAATCAAGAAGGGTGCACGTCAGGATTGTATCCTTTCACCATACTTATTCAATCTATGTGCTGAGCAAGTAATCCAAGAAGCAGGACTATATGGAAAAGAACATGGCATCAGGATTGGAGGAAGAATCATTAACCACCTGCGATATGCTGATAACACAACCTTGCTTGCTGAAAGTGAGGATGACTTGAAGCACTTACTGATGAAGACTGAAGAATACAATCTGCAGTATGGATTACGTCTCAATATAAAGAAAACAAAAATCCTCAACTGAACCTATAACCAGCATCACAATAAATGAAGAAAAGATTGAAACTGTCCGACTTTACACTGCTTGATTCTACAATCAACACCAATGGAAGCAGCAATCAGGACATCAGACGGCACTGGACAAATCAGCTGCAAAGGACCTCTTTCAAATGCTAAAGAGCAAAGATGTCTCCTTGAGGACTAAAGTACACCATATTTTCAGTCACCTCATATGCATGTGAGAGCTGGATAATGAATTAAGGAAGACCGAACAAGAACTGATGCTTTGGAATTGTGGTGCTGGTGAAGAATGCTGAAAGTACTAACAAACCTGTCCTGGAGGAAGTGCAGTCAGAATGCTCCTTGGAAGTGAGAACAGCTAGACTTCCTTTCACCTACTTTGGTCATGTTGTCAAAAGGGACCATTCCCTGGAGAAGGATGTCATGCTTGGTAAGGTGGATGGTCAACGAAAAAGGCGAAGGCCCTCAGTGAAATAGATGGACACAGTGGCTGCAGTGGTGGGCTCAAGTATAGCAAGAATCATGGAGCTGGTGTGGGAATGGGCGGTGTTTCATTCTGCTGTACACAGGGTCACTATGAGTCAAAGATGACTAGACAGCACCTAACGACATCGTCATCATAGTGGTGATTTAAATACAATCAACACTTAATCTACTGTTGTTAAGTGCCGTTGAGTCGTTTCTGACTCATAGCGTCCCCATGCACAGCAGAACGAACACACTGCCCGATCCCGCGCCAGCCCCACAATCCCTGCTATACTTGAGCCCATCCCCGCAGCCACCGTATCAATCCATCTCCTTGAAGGCCTCCCCCTCTTTCGTCGACCCTCCACCCTACCAAGCATGACATCCTTCTCCAGGGAATGGTCCCT